CGATCATATGCTACATGATGAAAAGCAAATACAAGTATATCTGATTCCTGAAGTAGATCATCATTTTGAATAGATGAATTTTGTCGAAGAATTTCACAACAGAAAACATGGCCACTAAATAAATTAAATAGATTTGGATTTGTTTTTATTTGAAAAATGATTGAATTAAGTTCATCATCATTCTTAAATGTTTTTTCAGTATTAAACATAAATATTAAATGATTTTGTGTGACACATTGTGTTAGTGTACCAGCATTAGTGTCAAGAATAAGACAAGTACGAAGAATTTGATGTTTTTCTAATACTGACTGAATAGCTCGTTGTAGACGACTCTTTGATAATGTATCATTTATAAGTTTTAATACCATTAATTCATTGTAAACAGATGCATTATTCATAAAACGTACTTGTTGATCAAGAAAGATACGTTCTTGTGCAAATGATGCAATACCTGTAAGTTTAATAAAAATAAAATATAAGTATGTATAGATAAAAAAGTGATTTTTTGTTTTTGAAGTATCTTACCTTTTATTAAATGAAGTGATTGCCATGTTTCTTCTATTACTACATCAGTTGATTTGATTGATTCAAGCAATTTAGCATGTTCAATAATTGTCGTCTTTTGAAGGAATAATGCAATAGGAAGTAATTTATTAGTAAAAGAAAATATTGATTGATAACGATGATAAAGTTGAATAAGTAAAAGTGAATGTCCACCAACGCTAAAGAAGCTGGTAGTTCTAGAAATGTGATTTTCATTAGAATGAAGAACTTCACACCAAATAGTGTGTATACGTTCTTCGAACTGATTAAGAGGAGTATCAGATTTATCGGATGATAACAAAGTTGATGAAGAAAAGTCAGGTGAAGGAAGTTGTTTTCGATCTACTTTTCCATTTGCATTCAATGGGAATTTGTCAAGAATAATGAATATGGATGGAATCATATGTTGTGGAAGATGAGATTGACAATGTTCCCGCAATTTCTGTTCGTTAATATCAGAACTCTGAACATATGCGACTAAATAATCATCATTCCATTTCATGACAACACAAGCAGAGATGGATGTAATGTTAAGTAAACATCGTTCGATTTCACCAAGTTCAATTCTCTGTCCATGTAGTTTGATTTGATGATCTTGTCTTCCTTGATAATGAAGAAGACCATTGTTATCCATTCTCACAAGATCACCTGTTCGATAGTATAGTTCGTCATCTATTTCAACAAGAGCTTGTGCAGTTAAATCATCACGGCCAAGATAACCAGCAAAAACACCTATTCCTCCCACAAACAATTCTCCTTCTTGATACATAAACACACTTTGTGAGAATTGATCTAAAACTAGATTCTGATACTTTGAAAGCGGTCGGCCTATTGAAAAACTTTCAGTTTCCGTTGTGTTATCAAAAAGATGAAACGTGCAATCAATTGTAGTTTCAGCAGGACCATACATATTCCATAGTCGACAAGTGTGCAATACAACATTTGACATTAAACTTATTAATTTCAAAGAGCAAGGCTCACCTAGGAATGAAATCATGTAATATCAAAAATAATACATTGTATATGAATATCACATACCACCACTAGAAACTGATCGTAGGTATTGCGCAACATTTTGATGATTTTGCTGTTGCAGATAAGTGAAGAAATTATGAATTATAGTTGGAACAGTAGTAATACAAGTAATATATTTTTCAGTGAAAACAGTAGCAAGATAGCCAAAGTCCATTATTCCTC